GCCTTTGCTGAGGGTGGCTCTGAACTCAGCCTCCTGAGCCATTGGGATTACAGGCGGCATGTGCCACCATACCCAGCTCCAACTGGTTTATTTCACTAGCATAATGTCTTCAAAGCTCATCCCTGCTGTAGCATGTATCAGAATCTACTTAATTTTGAAGGTGGAATAATTTCCCATCGTAAGTACAGACAACATTTCATTCATCCATAGATATGAGTAGTTAATAACATTCCCTACCCCATAGTGTAACTCTGAAATCTGAGTAAAATACTTAACAAGGTGGCTGATTATACACTAATTAAACCAACAAACCACTCCTGTGTGCAGAGAGAGAGTGGGGTCTTTTATAAAAAGCACTAGTGTCCCTCCTGATATACTCATACTGGTAAGGAAACTCCCTTATGGGATCATGGGACTTCACAGTTTACAAACCGCATTTCTATCTGTGGTCTCATTTGAATTCCTACCCCTTCTCGGTAAGGTTCACAGGACGGGAACTGCTACCCCACATTTTATAGAGGGCCGCTCTCATCTGCTGTCTGTCTCTCTGGCTCTTGGGTGTGTTTGGATAGGAAGAAAATACACAGTGGGAAACTGGCCTACTGTCCGTCTATTCACCTCTATCTAGGAGAATTATACACCCAAATACTATCAATTTAAGGCCAGAAGACTGAAGTTTGACAAGTGATTTGGGTTACTTTGGAGCAGAAGCTTGAAGACTGAGTAGGTTGTTCACCAGGTCTCTTTTCTCCTTGCTATGAAATATGGCAATGTTCAGAGAGAGAGAGAGAGACAAAGGTGGGGTGAGGGAGAAGGAGGAGAGAACGCTCCAACAGCCTGGGTGCTGGAGGGAAGATGATGTAGCACAGGGAAGTAGTTGGCATATTACGGATGTAGAGGTGAGCAAGAAACACACCTTTGTGGTGGTTGTTAACTGAAATTTGGGAGTCTTTTGTTACATACCAAAACCTAGCCCAGCCTAAGTAATCTCTATCTGTAAAGGCAACATTCGCTTCTGACCACGGGGAGTTGTGATGTCAGACTCTGAATCCATCATGACTGTCCACGGTTGTGTGTGTGTGCATGTGCGTGTTTGGGGTGGTACAGGGGATAGAGGAAAAGGAAGACCCAGCCCAGATTGTCTTGGATGCTAGCCAACCTTCCAGACCAGTGAAGCCTGCAGAGGCCTATTTCCCATTCTTTCCCTCTTCTCTAATTATTCATCTTACTCTTTGGAAATGCTTCTGGTCTCTGTTCAAATACATGATATCAGATAAAGGTTTCTTCTTTCCCAAATTATATGGAGAAACTGCTTCAGACGCTATTGACTGTCTCAGAAATAATAATAGCCACTTCTGCTTCCTGGGTGTTTATTCCCTACCAAGCACCATGCTAAGAGTTTTTCATGTTTTGCCTCATTTTATCTTAATAATTACCTTAGGAATTTGATACTTCTACTTCCTCATTTTACAGACAAGGAAATGAAGAATTAGAGACTTTCCTTAAGGAACTCATCCAAAGCCTCACAGCTACTAAGAGGCGAGGCTGGGCTCACATCCAATTATAGCGTTCGGTAATTTCTGACTTGTCAGTTTGGTTTCCTGTTATATTTCTAGGCTCTGTTATACTCTCTTGCGCTGCTATTTCTTTCTGTTCCCTCCCCTTTCCCTTTCTTTTATTTGCCCGTTTTTTCTTTTTTGTTACTGAGGATTGAACCCAGGAGTTCTTTGTCTCTGAGCTACACCTTCCCCTCAACCCCAGCCTTTTTATTTTTCATTTCGGAGACAGGGTCTACCTGTTGATGAGGCTGGGTTCAGACATTGTAGCCAGGAAACCCCCAAATGATAGCAGCTTTCATGAGATAGAAATTTACTCCTCTCCTACATGTTGTCCACAGTTGATATGGCAGCTTGAAGGCACCCCCCAAGACATGCTTCCATCTCACAGTACTTAGTGTCTCTACCACCAGGAAAAGGGAGAAAAAATAATTGGATGCCACGTGCATGCCTTTAAGTGTATGACCCAGAAGTTATGCACATTGATTCTGTTCACATCCCATTGCTGACTCACCTGGCCACACCCAGCTACAAGGGATGCTGGGAAAGTTAGTCTGTATTCTGGGAGGATTATTACTAATGGAGGAAGACATGAATGGGTACTGAGAAACCATTAGCCATTTCTGCCACACTCGACTCCTTTGCTTAAGTGAGGGCAGGCATTAGAGCAGCTTGAAGGCTCAGGGAAGCTGGAGTTAATCCCTGAAGCCACCAAGATGAGGAATGGGAGGAGCAGTAGAACACAAGACCTTTCCCACCAGGGTCGTTCGTTCAGGATGCCTGTTTGGGGGTCTCTACAGGACTTTGAATAAATGGCATTCCTTTGTAGCTTTAGTTCTGAACAGGTTGAGCAACAAAAGAGGTATAAGCAGAGGGAGACCAGGTTATCCCCTTTATTACTGATATAACCGTTTTAGAGAAGAGGATTTTAGATCTGGTAGTTGAAGGGCAGTGCTAATACTAGTCCCTAGACCTGAGCTTCAAAGACAAAAGCAGACCTTACACCAAGGGGTGGCGGTGGGGGGAGCTATAGGAACAGCTCTCTCTCGGTAAAAAAAGAAACAGCATGCTGAGTTACACATGACCAAGTATTCTCATGTTTACCCAAATGATCAGTCTTTCTTCTTCCCAAGAATGCATAAAGCAGGAGAGGAACCAGGAAGGTGTTCAGAACAAACCTTTCCTCATTGAAACTAGGACCGGGGAAAAGGAGTTCCCTACTACTATCGCACTGAGCAGAATGGGACTTAGACTTAGTAAAGCAAGTGTCTCAGGATACTATGTCAGCAGTTACACTTCCTCAGTTGATCTAAACAACAATTCTCTGGAACTAGAGTTCCTACCCCATTTTATAGTTGAGGGTCAGAGAAGTTAAGTGATTTGCCTAAGGTCGAAAAACTAATGAAGAGCTATATTGGAAATGGAACTAAGGTTAATCTGGCTCTCAAAACCATAGTCTTTCCTCCTAGGTTACCATTCCCTCATTATCACCAAAGACAATATGCTACAACTGCAATAAAATCCTGCCCTAAGGGAGACAACTGACCATGGGTCTCTTGTGGTTCTGCAAGTCTTGTGAGCAGAGGCCTGACTGCTCTTTGCCCTAGCTTGGAAACAAGGCAAACAGGCTTGGAGGATACAGATAGTTTTCTCTCCAGAACAAAGATAGAAATACTCTCCATTAGAAAAGATTGGATTCCCTAAGTTTATGGTTCTTCTGTAACCCTACCCAATATGTGTGCAGGCAGGCAGGCATCTATTCACATGGGACATGGGGACAAGTAAAACTGATGATAGCATGCTGATGCTCATACTTCTCCCTATGCTGTGAATAATAAAATTCTTTATCTCTGAACCAGAAGTCTCACACCTTCTGCTTATATCCATGACATCATGACAAGCTAACTTAAACTTAGCTTGCAAAAAGTGTAAAGTCTCAGTTCTTGCAGCACCTGCCATCTCTGTGCCATTCTGAGCATCACTGATGGTGAGTACTGCTTTGTCACATCACATATGCTTTTACATTTTCTACTAAATGTACAAGGTCAAACAAAACATTAAAGAAACAATTTAAACACAAATCTGTCTTATTTCTAGTTACATTCCTGCCTTGGAGTGAGAATACAAAGAAAGAGTGCAATCTGTTTTCTTAGCAAGGTTTTATTTCCCCATGAGAACCTCGTGATGTGGTCATTTTGCCACACTGAATGTGACTCTAAGTTCAAAGGTGCAAAAAAAAAAAAAACACACACACACACACACACACACACACTTGATGTAACTTGGCCTCTAAATCTAAAGCATCCAATTCTTTTGATGATCAATCAAAGAAATGGCTATCAGGTCCAAGTTCAGAGGAAAACTGGGATAACAGTCTTTAGGTTATTCCTTGAAAACCCTTCAAGAATGCTTCTTATGTGATTTTTATTTGTTTGTTATGGGATAACTTTATATTGTCACACTATGACTCTAGAATACTATATTTTTGGAGGCCAGGGGAATGCTATTTTAATAGATGCAACTTTTTTTTTAGTTGTAGATGGACACAATATCTTTATTTTATTTATTTTTATGTGGTGCTGAGGATCAAACCCAGAGCCTCACACATGCAAGGCAAGCACTCTACCACTGAGCTACAACCCAGCCCAACTTTTTTTTTTTAACAATTGAATATATTGTGTACTTATCTTTACACTTAGGCATTATTTTCTTCTTTAGATCATAAATTGAAAGTAATCCTTTTTACAACCAGAAACTAAAGCGTCTCCATGCACTTGGTTTAACTTCTTTGTCAATTTGCTAAATTTGGAAGTACCCCAACTGCCATTTTGTTAGACCAGGACGAAAGAAAACACCACTGACTCCAATTAAAATCAAATTAAAGCAAGCTTGCTTATTATTTCGACCGGCCAGGCTGCCTTTCCCTCCCAAAACGGCAGGAACAAAACAGCCCCCCACCTTTCCTACAGCCCAGCTTTATAGCCCAGAAAGTTACACAAAGGGGGGGTTACAGATAACAGAACTCTGACAAGCATCACACTAATGGTAGTTTACATTTTTTGCTGGCCCCAACATCAGAATTTATGAGGACCATTAGAGCCTCAGAGAGGGTCATTGTCTGGCCAGGGAAGGCCAATATTTATGAGGTGTCACTAAAGTTTCAGAGAGGGCTGCTATCTGGTCAGAGAGCCAGGCATGGGTGAGTTCAAGACATGGGCAGGCATTCCAAGCAGGTTCAGAATTTGCAGTAATTTATAGTAAAGCCGAAATTATCTTTTCATCGCTTTGTGGCAAGATGGCTCCCAATTTTAATAAAAGATCAGGTTGGGTCTATCAATTTAAACTAGTATTTTTTGGCTATTTGGTTCTTTTTACTTAATTGAATTATGCATCACTGGGAATTAATCAACCATATTTAAAAACATTAGTTTTTAAATTAGCATGGTGCTTGCTTCAACAGCATATATACTAAAATTGGAACGATCCAGAAAAGATTAGCATGGCTCATGCACAAGGATGATATGCAAACTTGTGAAATGCTCCATATAAAAATAAATAGATATGGGCTGGGCTTGTAGCTAGTGGTACAGCGCTTGCCTAGCATGTAGGAGGCACTGGATTCAAATCTCAGCACCACATATAAATAAATGAATAAAATAAGGATCCATCAACATCTAAAAACAAAGATACAAAATTGCTTTTTAATTGTAAACTAACTAAATAGATTAGGAAGCACGTGTATATATAGTAATAGAGTTCAGAGTACAAACTGTATTAATTCACCTATATGTTCAATGTCTCCTATTGGGACACCAATATTTTAATATCTGGTTCTGTATAGGTGGCAACTCCAAAAACACAGACAGAAAAAAAAAAAAGAAGAGGAGAGAGTGGTGGGGGTTGCAGGGGGAGGCTGGGAAAGAGAGAGGGAAGAAAATCTGCAGTCCAAGATAAGTCTATGAACCAAAATTCAAAAAACACACAAGGAAAATTCACCAAGAATTTTATAAAATCAATAATAAGGAGATAAATTAATTTGATTTAAATAAACATGATAGATCTGAAAATGACTTTAATTAGTTAAGGCTCTGGAAACAGATACAGGATAAAATAACATCTATTTTTACAAAAGGTATTATAAAAATACAAACAGGACTGGGGATATGACTCAGTGGCAGAGTACTTGCCTGGCATGTGTGAGGTCCTGGGTTGGATCCCCAGGAAAATACACACACACACACACACACACACACACAGAAACAAGACCAGGTGGACATGGCAAAGCATCAGTGAATGCATCTCCTCCAGGAATGGGTGACCCTTCCTGTATCCGCTATATTTCCCAACTGACTCCAATTGTGTTGTCCATGCACAGCCCTCTGCTAACACCCCTTTGCAGTGCTCCAATCTGGAACTGGGAGGGGAGATGGAGCTGTTTCAGCCCCTCTCCACCTATAGCCTTCTGCCACACACCCAAAGCCCCACCATGCCAACTCCTCCATTTGTGTTTTCCTTTGAGTTGGCAGCAGCGAGGCAGGGCAGGTCTGTAAGTCTGCTGCCCAGCAGCTGCGCAGGGCGCTAGTCCCCTCTTGCTTCAGGCTGTTCAGTCTTCACTAGGGAGTCTCTTGGCGCCCCTCTCTCTGGGGTCTGGAAGAGGATATAAGCACCCACAGGTTTCCTTCCTCAACACTGCATTCCCTCATAGGCAGACATTCCTCCCACTGCCCTGGCCTTTCTTTCCACTCATTAGTGGTGATGGAATGTCTGTGGGGAGGGGACTGGAATGAGGACTAGTCAGGGGATACTGGAGTGGATGGAGGTAAGGATTGGTAGAACAATGGGTCTTCTAATGCTCTGTTAGGAAGGTAGCTGGTTCTAGGCTTTGGCAGCTCTTTAGATGTAGAATGGAGGCTCCTTATGGACTTCTGTTTTCTGGTTTAGCCTCAGCAGCAGTTCCAGGACAACAGGAAAAACTCCTCCCAGTGACCAGTTACACAAGCATATATGTCCATTTCATCTTCCTCTTACAGTTTAACAAATGTTGACAAACTAGTTTCTTTATCTTGTTTTATTCACTTAAAGAATTTTTTTTTGAAATCGCTCTGTATCAGAACATATGCATGGGCCTCATTCTTTTTAAAGGCTGCATAGTATATCATAATATGGATTTATATAATTTATGGTAACAGGTGTCTACTAATAGATACTTTATTTGACTCTAGTTTTTTGCTATTACAAACAGCTGCTATGAATATTGTGTGTATACATCTCTTTACATAGAAGCAGCCTTTAAAAATGTTAACTGGAAATGCTGACCGACTTTTGTCCCAATGGCAATCCTTCTTAATTATGCTGCAATTGGTCACACAAAGTATTTCCTAATTTTGAAAACTCTGGGGCTTATTATAAGAATTGACTTTTCCTATCTTCTGTAACTGCATTGCTTAGCATATGACAAGCACTCTGCATTTACAACTTTTCTGTTTGAAACTGTATCTAAGTGATGTCTTAAGCAACCATTTGGGATCTACATTTAAGCTAGCTATAGTGCTGCAAGTTCAGTTAAGGGAGGAAGTACGGAGTAGCACTTAGAAATGGTAGCTTTTGAGTCATATGTGGCCCAGCATTCCAAATTTTACCTATATGACTTTAGACCTGTACGACACTCAATTTTTTAATGCAAAAAAGATGGGAATACAGTATTGACTTAAGGGAGGATGTTGTAGCGATTAAATAAGAGAACAGGATGTTTGGATAGCGCCTAGCACATAATAATTGTTCAATAAACATTAGATACACAGAAAGTTATCAATTCAAGTGACAATTGGATATACAGAATCTTTATAGGCAGGCTTAACTTCATACCTGGGCAAGTAAAGGCAAATGGCTTACAGATTTCTCCTTTATTTAGCACAAGAAAGTTCTTTCCTGGGGCTGGGGTTGTAGTGATGGAGCGCTTGCCTAGCATGTGTGAGGCACTGGGTTCAGTTCTCAGCACCACATATAAATAAATAAATAAAAATATTCACTGACAACTAAAATATATATTTTTAAAAAAGTTCTTTCCTTCCTTTCTTCTTCCCACTGGAAGATATTAGATTGTCAACTTATATTAGATCATCATATAATAATCATTCCTATTTGAATTACTATGTCAGGCATTTTGCATATAAACTCATTTAATTTTCATGAGGACCCATGTGCCTTAGCTATTGCTACTGTATTGCAGAAGAGAGTGAGGATCTGAGAAATCAATTGATATGTGCAATGGCATTAGTAGATTGCAGAAGAGGGATTTGTACCTAGGTCTTTCTGAAAAAAAAAAAAAGAAATTTGTAAACTGCCATACATTTATTTTTTCCTGGAATGAAATATCACTACCTCACGGCAGAACCAGTTTGGGAAAGATCTTAAATGTCACGAGTGAGCTTGAACTTCATTTAGAGGAGACATCCATTATGTTCTCTAGGTTTTATAAGTCAGCAACAACACATGTTGTTGAATACATTAGAAAAACAGGTTTATGAAGCATACATCGTGTTTTGAAGACAGACACTAAGAGACTCTTGGAAACTGGCAAACCATTGCCACGTGGTGGTTCCTTTCTGTCTATAAACTTTTTTGTTTGTGCAAGACACAATATGTAGAACGGCCCACAAAACTTTTAGGAGTGCACAATGCTTTAGGGTTTTTAAAATTTGGAGAAAAAAATAAACTTTTAAAAAGTCTTGCTATGTATTATTAATATATTTATCTTTATTCCAATGCAGTTGTAAAATAGAAATTAAATGCAAATATAAAAATAAATAAACCCATATCCACTAGTCACAAGGCGAAAACACCCAGAGCCCAAGAAAGTAAAAACATGGTTTGCATCAATTCGTGTTAACTTTCTGGGGCGGTGATAATGAAGGTTGAGTTGGAAGATGGGAGTGGAAAATGTCACAATTTCCCTCTTCTCATCAAGGCACCTTCAAAGCAAGATTAAAAGAGAGGAGAGACACGCCAGAAAGGAATACTTTCTAGCTGTATAATCTTAGACATTTGGGTTGATCAATGTGAGCTTCAGTTTCGCCACCGATAAAATGGGGAGATGTCTCTGGGATTGTTGGTCAGGGACTAGTCTGCCTTGTTCACAGCTGTATACAAAACAATCAGTACATACATGTTAAAAGAATGCAGTAAATGCATTCTTAGGACAGTGGCCAGTACACAGCAAGGGTCCAGAAAAGTGGTGGCTGCCAGCGTTCAAAATTGTGGAAAAGTCTTCTCGCGCAACAGCCGTAGGGATCTGAGACGCAGACGCACCCCAGCTGATTCCACGCAAACCTGCGCAGTAAGTTCCCTGAGAGGCGAAGACACGCGACTGCGCTTGCGCATCAGCGTTTTCCCCCGCCCCTTCAGTCGCAAGGCTAGTGGGGCGGGCCTCGGCGGCGGCGCGACTAGTAAAAAGGGGAGGACCGAGGAAGGGGCGTGGCCAGCGGCCCGACCTCCACCACCCTCTTCCGGGCTCCGCCGGCTGCGCGCGCATCCTCCCCCCTTCTTTTGTGGTCCGGCCCATTGCGAGGGTGACAGGAAACCCTGTGCAGGGAGCGCCGCCATCTTGGACCAGCCCGAGGTAGATCCTGAGGGAGCCGCAAGAGCAGTCGCCGCCGTCACCGCTGCTGCCGCCGGCGCGTCTGCACCTCTTGGCCCGCCAGCCTACCTGCCGGGGCCTCGGCCGACCGCC